TTGCTCCGAAATGTACTGACTCGCGACCCTGTGTTGAAGGTTTTTGCTAATTGCTCAAATGGTCAAATCCACCTTAAGAAACTTCAATAAGTGCTGTACGAGGGCAATGAAGTACAGCAGGATTGGGATAAGACTAAAAACGAACGCATTTCTCGTACAGCTGGACAGGTGGATGCGAGCAGGTGCCTTGTAGAAGGCTTTAACGGCCCCAGAATTCTTCGTGAAAGCCCTTAGCTCTGCCCACTGCTCTCCGGATGTCTCCTCCAGCATCACTAAGGACATTTTTTCCATATTAGACAGGTTTCTACGAAACTTCACTCTTATCGTTAGCCTTATGAACGACTCTCGAGTTCCTTTCAAAGCTCTCGAAATTCCTGCGAGTTCCTTCTTTCTGAACAACAATTCAAAAATTTGGAGGTCCAGACGTATGACATTATGACTTTCCATCACTTGTCGAAATTTGCGGATTCTGCATGCGTTCAAACTGACAAAAATAAATGAATAAATAAATATATAAATAAATAACCTTCTTGTTGTATTTTTGGTCTTTCTCAGTCTTGTGCAGAAGTTTAATTCTTTGTGCACACGGTGAAACACCCGAATGGGTTCCTAATTCGTTAGCATTGCTCGAAATAGGGCTGGAACCACTTTGTAAAGGGAATGATGCCAAAACCAGTCCTTTTGGAAACTGTTCTTCACTTCATATTCGATAATGGTTAGAACCGCCACTTCGATTGTTCGATTTTTTAGATATTCTGCAATAGAATGCAATTTGGAAAATGAGCGAGGCCTGTGAGGCCTTTGCTTAATGCCTAAAAGTTTCTAACCCCCCCCCCCCCCCCCTACCCCTGGAGACGACGTCTCAAGACGATCCCCCTCCCCATCCCCACGCTTCTGTCTTTTTGCTTGTGTTTTAAATTTTTCCAAGTTGTGCGACTACCATGGAAGGAAGAAAGGAGTAGAGTTACGACTCACTCCTCAAGCGAGATAGCTATGATCCTATGACGTTTCCGGAAACATCTTCACAGGATTTTACGCTTAACTTTACAAAAGGCGTAGTTGAATCGTACGGTGAAGGAAAAGTGTGTGTTGCGAGTACTTTTCTGTAGACCATTTTTACATAACTCGGCATACCCGTGATCTCAAATCTCAGATCCAGTGCATAATTGATTTGGAGGAACAGTTAAAAATAGCGAAGAGCGAAGAGAGCAGACCGATTCGAAGGAAGCCTTTCGATGGTCACGAAGGCTCATAAACATTTCAGGGTTTGTTATAAAATGGTGTGAAGGAAAATGAGCTTGCAAGAATAATGGAAAGGCATCATTAGGAAGAATCGCAGTGAGCTCCCAGAGTTGGCGGAAGGTGCATTGGGGAGATAGGGGTATGGGTACATACGTGCGTCCGAAACTGCGCGCGACGAATTCCGCGGCGAAGTTCGTGGCGATTTGAACTACTTCAGCGCCTATCGTTGAGGCCCAAATTCGAAGTAGAGTAGATCAGTAGGATTGGCTGACCCTACTAAGCCAGTAGTAGGTGGCAGACTCGTGCGAACCGCCACGAACTTTGCCGCGCAATTTGCCGCGCACATTCACGGACGCACGTAAGTTCCCTCCCCCGGGAGGAAGCACTGTCTGGCATGTCTACTTAAAGCTGTAATATGGTAAGAATACTATGGAGGGGAAGGCGTCGAGCTAATCGTATTCAGTAGAGGTTTTGTTGCGAGTAGCATCAGATCATTTATCAGTTTTCATTTTTGTATTCCTTACGATTTTCGCAGCACCGTAGGATGCATTAGTCATAGCTCTAATTCAACTCTACAGTACACTAACTTGTGCCGTCATAAGGCAGATAAAAGTACTTAAAATTTCAGCTGCTTCGGATTTTTCTTTAAATAAGCCTGTTATAAATATTTATAATAATGAACTTTATAGACGCAATACTTATGTAGATTCACGCCGCAGTCCATTTTATAATGATTAAAAATTAATGCCACAGAGAAATTCATGGAATTTATTCGGTTCTGATTATCCGTAAGCCTTAGAATTCTGGGCTTCGGAGCGATAGAGGGCTGATTATGATTCAATCTACTTACTAGTCCTCTTCTGGATTAGATCTAGCGACAACAGAAGTGGTAGAGTGAGGAGGCCGGCAGCTAGACTTCGATCACGATCACCCATCTTTTGCACGTTTGGCATTTTTGCCCACTACAGCTACTTATCTGGGACAACAAGTTGTGCTGCAGCTTATAGAAACTCTCTTATATCCGTTAAAAAATTCAGAAATATAGGTTGAACGGTCCATTTCTATCCGGCACTCTATTTGATTGCAATCGTGCCCTTCTAATTTCATTACATTTTTCATCTGGTGAATTTTGGAGATATAAGCCTCCAGCCTATCAAAAGTGCAACATATGGTGATTACTTTTTGTGCAAATATTCTACACACAGACCCATTCAGCATTCAAGAAGCCATATGGAGTTGTTGTCAGTGCAGCAGATACAATGCTGACCACTTTTCATGTATCAAACTCTCTGGTCCCCTAGATTTATTGTTCCTCCCTCGCGCTGTCGTCGCCGCAGCTCCTACAACGTTTTGTTGCAACTTCGATTTCTAACAGTGAAGGTGGGCTAAACTTCTCAGGCTTTAATCCACCATTAAAAGTCTTTGGACCTCGTTGAGCGACTGCAAAGCACCTGCAAGCCAAACGGAACAAAAATTTGCAAACTTGGGATGAGGCCTCGTGACGGGAAAATAAAGGGCATACCACTTGTCGTAGAGATTTTCGGAAGCCTTCACTGCTGTATATTTTTTGTTGGTGGAGGGTGGGTTGGGCGAGGCGGATTTTACAATCTTCAGTTTTGCAGCAGTCTTCCCTACCTCGAAATAATCGGGTCTGCAAGCTCTGATCAAAAAAATCTTCTGCCTAAATTTTTTTATCGTATTATAGAATCATCGCTTCAATGATTTTAGCGCCCAAATCAGGCTAGCGGCTGCTTGAAGAATGTTATGGAACCACATGACTGATCCCTTCCCTCCCTGTCTGTTATTCGACTTGCCTTTTCCTACAATTCGGAGTTGTTAGAAGGGTTGGTAAGTGCTCGAGCAGAGCTTTGAGACGCAGCGTTCTGAGTGCTACCCATTGAAGTGAATGAAATGGAATTGAAGTGTCAAAATACAAAATTCTATCAGCGATCGAAGATCGACAAGTCGGGAATGTCCTTGCGTAACAATAAAGAGCATCGTGTATTAGTAGATTTCATGAGGGTATCTACTGATGGCCACATTCACCAGCAGCACCAAGCAGGAGGCATAGAGTAGCCTCCGTCTTTAAGTTGTTACGATCTGTACCGTCTCACCTCAATGAGCCACTGCTCTTTCTTTCTCCCAGACCCTAGGCGTTAAACTTCGAAAATGCTCGTATTCTCAATGTATACATTACTTTATGGTGTTTGGCTTGGATTTTCCGTAACCCTTCATCTCACTTCCTCACTCGCTTGACTCATCCACCTGATTATCTCACTAATCATCTTTCATATGTCTAAAAACACTGTATTTTTGATCGTTGCTTTCCTTCCACTCATGAGAGTGGTTTGCACAATGACTGAGCGACATCCATGGTCTGTCACGATAAATGCAAACCGAGTCTCGTACGTCCAGAAAATAGGAATTTCAGGAAGAGGCAAAAGGGGCAACATGACTTTCACGCTCCCGTATCTGGTCGAAATTAGGTAAGCAAACAAGAATAAATATAAGCAAAATGGCTTGGATGGAGGTACATTCCATGAACAATCCACGCTTTTTATTTTGAGACGGTCAGCGAGGCTTTAGCGAACTGCATAATCGTCCAAGTTGAGAAAAAAAATCATTTTTGGAGCCGGGGCATTGTTACTCATGTCCATAGAGAGTGATTTTTAACCCCGGCAAGTTTTGGAAACAATCCAAGAAAAGCTCAGAACTCATTAGCTCACTTTAATGGATATGTTGACAGGTATTACTTGGAATGTATTGCTTTGCTTTCCAGCTCCAATTTTGAGGGCTCCCTTGGGCGGACACCGGAACTAATTACTTCTTCATCGATGAATTCAATAATGTTATTTATTGTCGACTGGCTTCTCATTTGGAAAGAGATGAACGAAAATAGAATAGTACACTGATGGACGCTGTCCTTTCCATCACCGCGTCATCTATATATGGCTGTCTTGTTCATTTACGATCTGAACTGCTTCAGGAACTGGTGACTTGACAGGCCCGACTTCAATTAGTCGGGCGCCACCCACGGGGCGGCTCTTGTAGCAGTAACTGTTCTTTTAGCTCTACCAAATGTTGTTCCCACCATGGCAATACGCATATACAAACACTTTTTCATACTCTTTTTTTCGTTTTTCTCTTAAACTGCTCAAAAGCTTTGAATGATTCATGGTAGAGTGAAAACAGAATCGCCACGAACCATTGAAAGGACATCACATGAATCAGGCTATGCGAGCGCTCTTTTGTAGTTTACCGAAGCTTTCCTCAGGCCTGAATTGGCCATCACCTGTCACACATTCACTATCGAGCCTTAGATTCCCAGCTGAAAGCTGAAAGAAAGAGAGATGAAGATTTAAAGAATAAGCTACGCAATCGAATCATGCCAAAGTGTAACAGCAGTAATGGGTTCCTTGAACAATTCATTCACGCCATTATGCAGTGTCTTCCCTATTCATCGTGGTGTAACGCAGATGACTCGAAATTATGTGTGCTGGCTCTTGGAATTAAGCCCGAAAGGCATCACATCTCAACGGGCATTCCATTGAAATTGTGTTTTTTATTGCTTCAGTTCGTTTTCCTCTCTGTGTTGGCTGCCCTATAAAGCCATGACTAGTTGGTCTATTCTCTTGGTGTTATTGGTTCGTCCCACTGTCTCTGCTTTATTGAAAACCACCTGTCTTGCTTAGCCTTCCGAAATAATTGTAATTTCCTGTCGCTAGTTGATATAATATTTTCAATTACAGTACGTTACGATGTATTACGGTAATATATCGTCGTTGGACAGCGTGACAGTCATAGACGGTATTTGCGGCTACACAGAACGTGTCACCGTTACTCGATTCGTCTACATTTCGGTGGCTGGAGTAATAGCTGTTTTCGGTGAGGAAAATTCTTTCTGCATTCAATCTACAAACAATCCATTCCTATGAATTGGCTTGCTCTGAGAGGCAGCATTTCAGTGGAAAACCTCAAAAGACATCTTCAAAAAATTCCTGTGACTCAATCAATTTCCTACAGTATTTCCGCCTTTGTCGGTGTTTTTTCTGATTTAGCTTACATTCAATAAGTCAAATTGCGAATATATGAATTGAACGGTACACCAAAGCCTGGACTTGCTTGAAGTGCATTGAATATTTCTCCTTTTTTATTTCTTCTCATTTCATTGCTGTCACTGATCTGAAAAAAAAACTTCGGTTTATTCTGAGCTCTTCAGCAACGATAGTCCTGCGATTTTTCACCTTCTACTCCCATTGAGCTTCAAAGATCCAAGGCTACCGGAAATGGACTGCTGTTCCATCAAGAGGGACTACTGTTTTTTTAGATTTCGGTTACTAGCACAAGACTTCTTACCATTCAGATACGTCCAATCCTCATCAGCAGTTTTAAATAAGAGAGTATTAATCAAATTCAGGAACTCAGAAGTTTGCGTTAGATGAACTAGATCATCGAAAACTTGTCCCAGACATCGATAGCCAGGCTATCCTCCGTTTTGGTCGCTTTATTACTACAGCCCAAATTAATTCAATCTATTTTGCAATTTGTTGAATATGAATAAATAAATCAATTGACTGATCAAAAGTTTTTGGTGATTAATCTCTTTGTTTAGGATTTTTCTCGAATCTGCTACTGATTCTACTGTTTCGAATGTCGCCCACACGTCCCCCATCGCTATTCCCAGGATTTCTGGCCTTGCTCGACGCTCTGATCTGCTTCTGTTTTGTGTTGATTTTCGTCGTAGACGTCAACATGATATACCTCGAGCTACCAGTAAGCTTTGAAGTATTTTTTTTAATGAAAGTTATTAAGGAAATCATTGAAACAATACTGACTAACTGTAACGAGAATTGTACACGTCGAAAGACCAGCTCTAATTTGATTTCCGTCGTATTTCTTTTGAGATGCCTCCCCTAATGGATTTTTTGCTGGGAGAGGCATTTAGGTTCGTGCTTGGCCTTTAGACTGTTTCGTAGCGTCAGCCATCTTTCATGAGGTCCCTTCTCGTTCCTCTACAAGTCCAAAACCAAGTAACCAGTTCGTCAGTTAAGTCGAACCGAGCGTAAAGTTGATTTCTCGACAAAATCTTGGCGTTTTACGAGGTTGACTTCTACAAAAAAAATGTTCTAAAAATTGACGATCAGTGATTGGAAAATGTAAGGGCCATGCCAATCACAATGAAAGCTAAATGCATTGCACATCTCATTGAACCCATTTATTTTTATCTTCATTTTTAAGCAATCATTGGTTGCCGTCATATCAGCAATTCATCTTGATATTGAACATTTTTCGCCTACTGTTCAAACCCCAACTTAGCAACTCTCCTCACACATCTTTTTGTGGGAACGTGTGTTATTTTTGATATTCTGGTCTTTTACCACCTTCTTCACTCGGAATCACTCGGAAAAGCGTAAGCCACAGAATGGGCTCTGACATTGGTCATCAAGAATGTAAATTAACTTATGATTGAGAAAAGGTTCAATGACAAATGTTATCGCTTTAAAATGAACAGTAGGCTCCACAGCTACACATTTGCGGATGAAAATCCTCGTTTAGGCTCAACGCCCGTTTGGAGAGTGGATAAGAAGCATAACATCACGTTTCGCTTTATACTGATCACCCTTCTAGATTACTACATACCTGTGTATAACGGTCCTACGTTTGTTTGCCCTGAAGTTCTTTCTTTGAGGAAATCAATCATGACATTCGAGTTTCCAAATTTTTTTGCACTAATTTTTTTCCAAGCAGACCACCTAGAAGTTATGAACACCTTACCAATTAGTAGGCATCAGGCCCAAGGTACCCGATATCACAAACCATTCCTGTCTTCTTGGCTTCTCTTTATGGAATTCATTTGCATACGAAAACTTTCAGGGTCTATTCGCTTTCTACCACGAATACATTGTTTTTGCGTTTTCGACAGCTAAAATCGTCCAATTTCTTATCCCTTACATGCTTATAATGGGCACCTTCGAACGCTACAGATGGATTGTCACCAAAGAGTTTGTTTTTTTTTNTTTTTTTTTACATTTCTTGTATTTTGCAGATGTCGTTCTGACCTGTTCTCAAAATAACTTTCAAATCAGAGCCAGCCTGTGATAAGGAAGAGGTTTTCAACAAAAGGGGTTTTGAACATACAGTATAGACCAAAGTCGTGGAACCATTCCTTCTGTCAATGGTTTAATCGGAATTTTGCTCAATTCGTCTCACTGTGGTCTAATTCATAACAAATCAGTTTCAGAAACTGATGTGAATAATTTCAGACGATCTGGCGCCAGCTCAAGCGCTCGCCCTCTCTCAGTTGTAGTGCTGGTACTAGCAGCAGTTCTAATCCGAGCACCTGCCGCTGCTGTCCTTACCGTCTCGAGATTCCCTTTATGCACAGATTATTTTCGCACCCTGGCCGTTGACATTCTTCCATGGGCAAAGGTTGGTTTCAGTTTCTACTTTACGGAGAGGAGGCAGAGGCGAGAGGAATCATTGCACCTTCATCTTTCAGAATAGTAAGATGTACGTTGCTTTTGACCTCTACGGAATCGCCTTTCTGCAAACATTTCTGCCATTTGTCACGCTCATTACATTGAACGTAGTTATCATTCGAAAACTTTACAAAATGAATAGCCGAACACGGAAGGCCGATTTTGCACAGTTGGTAAGATCTTTGACTTGGAATGTGATGTAGAATGTTGGAAGAACTTCCTGTATTTCAGCCTGGTCTTCGGTCATCGATACTTTCGTCATTACGGCGCTATAAAATGACACCTCAAATTCGAAACGCTGTGCACTCGATGGTTTGTTTCAAAGTTTACTCCCGTTGTCTAATTCGTCTATCCCCCAACTCCCCTCCCCCGTCTCCCCCAAGAAAAAAAAAAGAAAAAAGTTGTCAACAGTATGAAATAAAGAAGAGACTCGATATGGGATGAAGTAGCTTATAGGTAGATATATTGCAAAGTCGGGCAGACATTCCAAGGAGCACTTGGGGAACAAGTAGAGAAGTGACGATTTCTACTGCTCCTAAATATGGTTGCTACAACTTCGACCCTCAATCTGTTTCATAAAATTTGCGCGGATCTTTTTTAGAAACCATGGAAGGGAATCACAATTCCATGGCTCCATCCTATAAACAGATTAAGTGCTACCCACCGTTTTCACCGATTATTTGATTAATGTAATGTAATTTAAGATTCGAGAAGTTTAGTTCAGATAAGTACAGTTCATTAGAGATTTCCTGATCTTTTTTTTCCATTCAGGTAGCAATTGTTTCGACCTATCTTGTATCAAATTCACTGCACCTTATGCTCACCCTATTAGAATTCGGAAAAGCGTCTATACTTTTCGAGTGAGTTCGATTGGAATTTTTCAAGAATATTTTTTGTAAAGATTCTCGAAAACAACTCTTTTCCGATGCAAAAATATTGGAGCATTTTCAAGACTCCAAGGAAACTGAGCTGTTTTCAAAATTTTTCACTGCAACAGCCCTGACGTTTCCACATTTCTGGCCTTTTGAACGCTACCGGAGCATAAACGGTTTCTTAATTGTTATTTTTCAGGGAAAACGACTCATTCCAAGCTTCAACTCTCTACACAACTCTCGGGGATCTTGTCAGTGTTCTGTACATGACATCATCGGCTATTCGAATTCTGATCTACGCGAAATGTAATCCAACTCTCTGGAAACAATTGTCCAGTACTGCTTTGATCGAGAGATTCAGCGGAAGTTATTCAAAGGAAGTCATGTTGTAAAAAAAAAACGATGATTATTTTGGACGATAATTTTCGAATTCTCTATGAGACTACAGGAAAAGATTCCATTGAGAAAATGTGATGTCACCATTTTCTTGGAGGACCCCATGACGGTAACAGTTGAGATTTCGAAAAGAATTGCAATCATGTTCATGCCTTTACCACTGTCATGCATAATGCGTCGTTCACGGAAACGATCACTAATTTGTGATGATGGTTGTGAGGGGATCATTTTCAGGAAGACATTCTTTCTTTGAAGTTTTGAACTATCCCGTTCCGAGGTTCCGTGACATAATTGCTCGAACTACTGATAAGAATTTCGATATGTTCTGAAGTTTACCGAAGAGTACGGCTCGATGTTGTTGCCGTCAATAAACTGTTCTGCATCGTATTTGTATCAATGTACCACAGGTGTATTGCATAACTGCAGTACCTACAGACCACATAATTCTTGCGTGCAATTCCGGGAACTGAAGTCCGTCATTCATCGTTTGGGTCGGGAACTAGCACTTATTGACCAAACTCTGATCACTCACTATACTACATACTTGCCTGTTTTTTGCAGTACACTTTGTTTGATAGCTGGTTGTGTGTTGATTTTTTGCTGTACATATCTCTTCTGTCAATCAAAAGTGTCAAGTGAGAGAGCCAGTTGTCGTCAAGTAGAATCATACTGCCAGCCATCCCTAACAGATATGAGCACAAATCACCACATGTAAACTCCAGTCTTCAACTCACCCTCCATCTCCTATGTAACAGACTTTGCATCCAGATTCTCACGGTCGCAGTCATGCACTGAACGCGGCAGTAGTTGCACAGCAGTTACGGTAACCAAACACTTCTGTAGTCTCAAATCTAACCCTTACCTTTACATTCCAACACGCCGTTCTGTGGAAGACCCCACATCCGCATCTTCCCCTCTTTTGAGCCTTTGATAACGGCGGCGAGTGAAGGTCATTTATTGGGATAAACTTAGAAGTTTGTGTCCTTCCATCCGTCATAATCCGTGACATTGCTGACTCTGGTTGGCACCCGGCCAACAGAGGGCGTTGTTCCATCTGTCGCGACGCCGCGAATCGATCGCTGCGGGCTGTGATGTGCAGAATCGCAACGGCGCGACGAAGAGGGCGAGCTTCCAGACCGTGACTTTCGGCGCCAGCTCAAGTAGTTTGAAACGAACGCCCACCCTTCGCTAGCAGCGGATAAACATGCTCTTCTGCTCGCTGCTTCTTTCACTTCAACCTACAGGTGTCCTGCACCACTTACAGCATTAGCAAAGCAGCTTGACACTTTCTAGGCGCATGGCACGAGCAGGAAAACTTATTGTTAGACACCACTAATGCAGTGGCACAAAGACCTTGTCACCAGCTCAGCGCCTTAACTCCACATAAGTAGTGTTGCCTAGTAACACTTCAACTTCACGCTCATTTCTTCCACCGTTCATGTAATTATTGCAATTGGTCGAGATGTTCAGAAACAGGAAATGAAATGAAAAACGCAAATCCCGTCATATGGGTTAGACAGAAACAAAAATTCATGCGAGCACCCGGCTGTTGCAGTAACACCATAGCTTCCCTCACCCAACCCATGTCATAGTCCGAGGCCCCTTTCGACGAATCGTGTGAGAATTTGCGTATCGAAGGTACAGTCCACGATAACCTTGGTAATCCAGATTATGACGAAAAATGGAAGATAAGAGGGAAAATAGTGCGATGAAGGTGGAGGAGCTGCATGAATCGGTGTTTCCGAAGTGAAAAAGGCTTCGAAAAATCATGAAAAAGGGGGCTGTACGAGAGTGAGACCAGAAAAATGAGGCAGAGTGGGATGTTTGGACGAGCTTCACAATGCCCGTCATTGCAAAAACAACCCATATTTTTCAGCCTCTTGATGTAGAAAATCGATATAAGGATCGCAGCAGCAAAGAGAATAACAGAGAACAAAATGGGAGAAAGTATCGTCTCATCACTCGGCGATCAGCTGATTGTGTGTGGGTCCTAGAACGAATACTGCAACTGTATCGTCTCGACACTCCACTGACGTGACATCGATCGAGGAGCGGGAAGTCCAGGACTCCCACTATGCCCTAGCTGTTGAGGTTTGGGACTCGTTAGCGTCCTCCCTCTTACAATTGGGGGTCACTGGGTCTTCATAGAGGGAGAACTCGGAAACCTTTTTTATCGCTAACTGTGCCTTCAAAGATTTGCGTCCCAAAATACCATGACTTATACATAGGAACTTGTGGGTAATACTTGATAGAGTCTTGATTCAATTGCCTCTATGAGACTATGATAATGGGGAGCTATATCCAATGAAGTGAGCTGTAATGAAAACAACGAAATGTGATCAGCACCAATCCAGATTCATAAGCGTAACGCCACTACTACGTCATTCTATTATCATGACAGTGCTTCCTACTCCATGCAGCAAACTGATAGAAACGCATATCTTGTACAGGTACTCGTGAGGTACTAGGGGGTTACTGTGTCATACGTTCACGAGACGTTAAAATCCATCGAACTGCTGGGCAACCGACAATGGTAATCTGCGCCTTTAAACCTTGAAAAGACTGGCCGTGGTCATAATAGATGCCTGTACCGGCACCTGGTGCATCCATCGGCACCTCCTTGAAAGCGCCCACTTAAAATAAATACAGATGATGGAATTCCATTGCAGAATGCAAAATTTACGCGTTAGTGTACGGTACGGTATTCGTGCGAAGTACGCAAATACACTACCTTCTATGGGCATTTTCAGGGGGACAGTACGAACGTGCGTCCGAGAGTGCGCGCGGCAAATTGCGCGGCGAAGTTCGTGACGATTTGTGCGACTNTCAAACTTGGGCCCCAATGATAGGCGTCAAAGTCGTTCAAATTCTTACGAACTTCGCCGCGCAATTTGCCGCGCGTATCCTCGGACGCACGTTCGTACATATACCCGCATTTTCACGCAGCACTCTTTGTGGCGCTCTTCTTCTCTGCACTCTTGCACCTCCAGCGCGAACTCGTACGTGGCCGTCACCGCCCCGCACGCTCACACAGTTTCCTTCTATTGTTCTGTTTGTCCCTGAGAACATGTTTGGTATTCATTGCACAACGTCACATCCTCAGGTTGTCTCCCTTGGAGGATGTCAGTTGTAATTAAATGCAGATTATAGTACGTTGTTGACATCATGCGCCTCTTGAGAGCATCAATTTTAATGTCATTTGGTGTGCTTATAAGACCAGCGATTGATTTTTATGGTAGGAAAAGCTCATGAGGTGCTTCAGTAGAAAAGAGCTTTTGAAACCTGTTCAATTTTTTAAAAGTTTCTCGAAAAATAGTTAACCTGTGATAATTCGTAAATTTTCTAACACCAGCATGTGACGTTACGCAAAACTAGCTTCACAAACCTCAGAATGGTAACTTCCTTGCTTCTCTTTACTTCTCTTGCAGTTAGGTGTTTCCATGTCCGCTAGTTTTAGATGTTTGTTTGATTTCATAAGTGATAATTTTTCCGTATGCGCACTTCGAATATTCCTCACAGCTTCTGGGGTCACTAAAATATGGATGCTTTTAGGCAATAGCTTGACTCCGGGACAAGACATTTTCCAGCTTTGTATCCGGCAGCAAGAGGTGGGAAATTTAGCTCAAGGTGAGTGAGGCTTCCTTTTAGTCGAACACGCTTGAAATCTCGACCTGTACTATGGGATGATTAGCACAGGTATTAGCTTTAAACATCTTTCCATCCTTCTTGGTAAAACAGACCGAAAGAAGAAATAAAAACTCTTCAGAAGAATGAAAGTTACAACTTATCTAGTAATTCTTTCAGCGGATTTTCCATGAGAACTTGAGACTGTTGAAATTCCTTGTCATCATCTCATATTAGAGGAAATTGCAGTGTGTTTTAGATATCAGAAACATGCCTCCGGGAGGTGAGCAGAAATGCATTCCCTTGGACAGCGAAGTGCAATCGCAGCCAGTAAGTTTGTTTGTAAACCCTCAAGTAATTTCTTGAGAATCGTTTATTGCATTCTTTATTTAGTGTTTTGTGGTACTACGTGGATAAAAGTCTGAGTTCCATCAGGATATCTTTTATTGTGCCGCTCACTCAGTTTCTTGCAACGCTCAATTGTCTTTAGGCATAATAGGAACTAAGCAAACGAACTTGACTCATTGACGAACACGAGCAGTAATATTAGTGGGCGGAGTTCGTTTTGCGGAAAGTTTTCATGAAGTTATCTTCTTAACTTCTCGTATTTATCGAGGTTGCTCGTGAATTCGAGTTGTCAACATTTTTGCTAATGTTTTCGCAATAAATTCTTTTGTTGGAATGATTCCTCCCTTAATATTCGCTCTAGTAAAAAAATATTTTTGCTCTGATTCCTTTAGCATTGCAACTTTCTGGGTTGCATTCATTTAGGATTCAACTTCGGATTCCCATGGAGGATGCCACACTGCGAAAGCAATCACAGCGGCACCTGTCCCAAAAAGTGAGTCCCAAACTTCACCGTGAAGAGTTTGTGTTATAAATACTGTTTCAGCTTACATTCGCATGCCGAGGAAAGGCTTTCCACCAAATCCTATGCCCGAAAACTATGTAAGGGTGAGTGTAGGCGTTTGATGTTTTTGATTTTCGTTTAGCATGTAAAAGAGAAACGAGCATACTCTTCTAGCTTTTAGTTGCGTAAAACAACCGTTTGTAGCTTGATCAAATCACCGACGAGTTGTACGATATGTTCTGCAAGGAGGTTCTGGACGACGCTCCTCAACCATGTACACCACAGGAACGAAAGCTACTGGATAATATGAGCTCGTCGGGAGATTTTGGTGTGAGTGTTCACACAATCAACTGCAATTCTTTCTCTGCATCTTTTTGCGTTTTAGGCGGCGGTAGATTTCTACGACGAGATTATGGGAGAATTGCCTGTAGTTATGGTACATATGCGCACTTCAAAAGTGTTTCTTTCTCCGTCTCTGAGGTAAATTCATTTTACGGCAGCATTCTACTTGTAGTCGCAATTGCAATGTTGTATTTTAGAGACAAATGTATTCAAAAAGTAATAGCAGTCAAGAAAAGGGAGGAGAATCCTATATGTACAGCCCTCGCTCATATACAGCAGCTCTTCGTGGGATTTCCACCTGAAATTCGGGTAGGCTCTTGCATCGTTAGTACGGATTATAGTAGATTTTTCAGTTTTAAATTGGTTTTAAGAATATTTTGAGAGATCATTCTCGCGACGCCATCTGGTTATCTTAAAACGAATTTACTTTTTGAACTTCGTATTTGTTCGGAAATGTTCAATATGAGAAACTCAATTCGTTGACATTTTCCACCCTGCATCTGGTTGTGTTTTGGAGTCTTTTCGACTTAAATAGTATACTTTGAGAAAGCTTAACCAGTTCAGTTTCAATAAACTGAAACTATTTTGCTGTTTTTGAGTTTTTTCTACTTCCATTTTTCCGCATTCCGCGATTTTCGAGCGGAAAAAAAAACCGTCCTTGCTTTACGTAGTCTCAATATCTACATTCATGCTTCTGTAGAAGTAATCTATTCATCTTCCGAGCACACTGTGCAAACCTTTGTTCGAGAAACGGGCCCTAAATATCAACGCTGTTTATATGTGGTTTTAACAGTTACGTCATATGTTGGTGGCTGAACTGGAGAGACAAGAACCAGGCACGCTCTCCGATGATGATAAGCGTCTACTGGCACTACCCCCCTCAGCAAGATATTCTGCTCGACCGGTACTGTAATAGTTGAATTTTTTCTACAGCGTTAAAATCACGAACGTCGAAAATAATGTCATTGTAGGCAGCGCACCTTCGGCGTTGTTCTGCGCAAGAAGGTTCGTCGTCTGCCCAAGATTCAGTTACACGCCGGATGTCCTCCAGGTAGGAATTCGGGTTTTGTTCACCTTCTGCAGTACTTGGTCTTATCTTCTTGTTGGGCGTTAAGTATACACATATAATATTGTCATCACTGTCATAAGCCCACCAATAAACTTTGTCTTCCTCAGAATTCCTAAACCCAAAGAGAAGATGTCGATGGACTCGAAAGGGGACATTATCACCATAAATGCTACTCAAACACCACCACCACCAGGGTTTTCGTCAAAAATTACGCCGAAACCAAAACGTCAGTAGGTTAAGATACTCCCACCAATTTATTTACACATTTTTTTTTCAAACTGAAGGCTGTTTTTTGTGGATGCGATCTCGTCCTGAACATTCGTGTTTTCTAGCATTGTTTATTAATCTATTGGTTCCGCTTGATGACGTCATTTACGACAAAATTGCGGAGGTTTTGGCAGAGCGGTGTACATTAGAAAGCGTAAGTTTTACTCTTTCTCTCGACTAGCTGTATTTAGCTTAAATATGTGATAGTTTATATCAAAAGTTCTATTATCTAAATAGTCTTATCAAAAATGTGTCATGCTTAGTTTAGATCGAGGATGAATCACTTCGCTTAGCCATTGAAAATATAAGAAACAGTGGAGAAGTTATGGTAGAGGAGTGGACAGAAGAACAATTTTTTTGCCCACCTGGGCTGCGGTTACGTGTGAACGATGACGTAGGAAGGATATATCTTCGGAAAAGCGAAGTCAACGAGGTATTTCGCAATGTGACCGCATGCTCGTACGGGATGATGGAAGCCTTTGATTAAGAATAGGCTGGCTGTAACATAATACTAGAAGCCAAATACGTTTTCAAGTGATCTTATGAATATGAATGGAAGGTAAATCAATTTACCATATTAAGGTCTGGCGCATGTGTTATGCTACTCTTCACGAACGTTCGCAAAACGAGATTCTAAGTGCGGTTGACTCTCAATACGTAGGTATTGCTACAAAGTCTAACGTGAGTTCTTTCTAGTCTCTAGAAAAGTTTTAATAGTGATTGCAACAACACTATATCTTGAAACAAAAGGTACACCATGTCCTTGCCTAACCAACTCTGGGCCCCCCTTCAATTAGCAATTCAGAGTAGCAGGAATAGGAGCACAGTGCAGTATTATGAGCTAGCTTCCTCACCCCTTTTTTGATTGTCCCGTTTTAGAGCTGAATGTTTTTTTTTCTATGGAACATGACGCTTGGAGCGGAGATTGTTATATTTTATGAAGTGCTCTTACACTTCTTTATCCTTGTTTCCCCTTTCTCATCCTATTTTCCATTCACTTCGTATTTACCGTTTTATTAGAGGTGTGTAATTCTCCAACACTAGCAGATATGAACTTCACATTTACTCAATTATTGCTGATCAATAAGCTGTGATTGCAGATGCGGGAAGTTTCCAAATATGACTTGCTCAAGGGAGCCCGAGTTGTGTTTCCAGCTCCACCGAGGTCTATTGGAAGGAAACCGATGCAATACGTACAGGTCTCCTTAGTGGTTTTTTCTAAATTTTTTACACTTGGTTATAATATGTCACGCTGTTTACTTCAGCAGCTACACGCTCGAAGTATTAGTTGCTGTGTTTTCATTACAACATTTTAAGATCGATATACTAGTGATGGAGGAAACCATGTATGGAGAGCGTTCATACAGTCAAGCACTTTTCTTGACTGATCTGTACTCTGGTTACACGTTTGCTCGGGCTTTGACTGATAGTCCGGATCTAGCCATCATCGTTCGTCACGTAATGGATATTTTCGGATCCTTTGGGCCACCCGGTAAGGTTGAACCAATAAATTGTAATTACATTGGTAAGGTTGCGATCGTCAGTTAAATTACTCCATAAGCTTTTTTCAGAGGTCTACAGAACGTATTCGGCAGAGTATTCACATATCATAGCAGACGTAATGCTGGATATCGAAAGGTTATTCAAAGTTCCAATCAAAAACATGGGTGTTGGGGTGTGTCTTTTTATTAGTTATACGTGAATTTCCAGTTGTTTTTCTTTAGGCTACTTCCTTGTTTGTCCTTTGCTTTTTTTGTGAGCTCATGGGCAGGCACTCGGTTTCAGGGGAACTTAACTCGTGATCTTGTACGTGCTTTGTATCGTCGAGCTGAAATCGAATTAATGGCCACCAACCGTTGGGTCGAGGCGTTACCATTTGCGGTCATAGAGCAAAATCAGCGTCCATCCAAGTTTTTCGATCCCAGTAGAACACCATTCGAGGTAAGGGGTACCTTTTTGATGTAAACATTTTTTGTTTTTCTGTTGACTGTAAACACACTTCAGATCATGTTCGCACGTCATGCATGGAGAGACGAGACCTGTCCACCATGGGTCAATCCGGTTCCTTTCGGTAATGCATGTATTTGTACTATGTATTTGTATTTGTATTTTTTAAACGAGTTTCTCGTTTTATTGAAATTCTTCAATACATCTTGCGGTCAGTTGCTCAATCTGTTTTCAGATGAGATGGAGCTGGATCAATCGCGCTCGAAGGCGGCAAAGAAGGGTAAAAAGGGGTTCCTGGTGAGATATTATTTCAGTTGTCGGTACCTTTTCGACTCACGAAAGTCACAGTGGTTCCATATACTATTACTTCTGCATGTTAAGGATCCTGCAGAGGATGAATACGATAACCCTCACCTGGACTCAGTAAAGGATTTAAAAATGTATGCCAGTTCGTTGGTGATGAGTCGAAAGAAGGTTGGTAATTTTGCAGTTCCATTAGTAAAGTACTAGGAACAGATGAATTCACTTCCATCACGATATCGTTTTCTCCTGATAGCAATTTTCGAAATTCTCTCAATAGCAACAGTTACGAGGCTGGATGGCTCGTTTGATTATGAAATATTGATAAACGAAGGGCGAATGCCCGACGGAAAGTACCATTAGCGTTTGTCGCCCGTACGTTCACGGTTCAGCACAGGGCAAGGCTAATTCTTTCCATCTTATCCTTTGGTTTTGTTTTTTTGTTTAGCATTCAGTGAGTCAGGGGTACTGGTGAATGCGTGTGTAAACCGTTTCCTATCTGAGCTCACATTTGAGTTGCTTTCGCAATCATTCATGGCCTTTCCATATACAACAAAAAATAACAAATCAATAAGCTAGCTAGCTCATTTTTCTATTCTTTGTAGTAGATAAGTTAAATAAGTTGTTTATACCAAACATTTAGGGCAGCTTCGGTTGATATTCGATAGAGGTAGGGGGTTGGTGGAAGCATGAAAAAGACGACCCCTGCGTGTAATGTATGTCAGCGTTCTTTCAAGGGTTAATTTTAATGGTTGTGTTCTAGTTAAAACAACAAGTGGCTCCTGTTTATGTACCAGTTTACAACGAAGAGGGGAAATTGGTGAATCCAGGCACAGGCTTTTTATTTCAAATTTTCGATCGCATTTATGTGAGTTCCACAGCTTTTTAAAGCATTTAACCGTAGTTGGTTATGTGTGCTTTCATACTATTTGTGCTTGTTTTAGGTTCGAAATCCCCATTACAATCATGAATATCGTGCGTCGAAGAGCAGATCCCATATAGCTCGTTATTTTCGCGGTATTATCGTTGATATAGACGCTGATCTGGTGGATTCTATGTACAAGGCAAATTGAACGGATTTTACTTGAATAAATATTATTCATTTTGTCACTGTCAAAAGGGATTTTGCAGGTATTATACTGGGAAGATGACCCACACGATGTCGATTCAATGAGTGCGTCAGAATGGCCTGCTGCTGATGACAGTATGTTTTTTCAATGACGGTTTTTTTTTCTGAGGTTTTCCACTACCCGAACTGATGTCCTTGTTAAGCATACGATTGTGCATCGTCATGGTTCGGTCCATGGGACGTGACAGCCTCTACTGCCCATTTGGCTAAATTGCGTTCTGTAGCACGTAAGCCTCTTTTTTAGTGTTGAATTGTACAAAATTGCCAAATGTTACAATAACTCGGCAACAGGCTAGAGCCATAGATTATTCTCAATCTTGTACTCCATTCTTCTTAATTGGAGTCATATGAGCGTGCTCCCTTTTTATTCATTCTGTCGTCTTTATCATCGTGGTGCCTTCTTCGCCATTCTCTCTTCCTGGCCACTAATTTAGTAATCTTATTAAGCGAGCTGGCGGTTGTTTGTTCATTCCCCCTTTTACTTTCTAATACAGTTGCATCAGTAACTTTGCTTTTCTTAGTGAAATTATTGAATTCTCTTTCAATATTAGTGGTCTTTTAATTGATCGGCAGCAATAATTCTCCTCTTTTTCTAATCACTATCTCCATCGATCTCTCTTTTTCATCACCTGATTTGTAGCTAGGGGTGACTTTGCTCGTGTTTTTTCCAAGTTTTTTTTCTGCCTCATTCTGCACATGAACCTCATCGGTTGGTAAAATTGGTTGTTATATTGTGTATGTGGTTGACGTAGCCTGACTTCTGTTATTCAGCTGAATTTTGTACTGACCACATGGCAATCAAGCGGAGAACCATTGATATGCGATGTCGATGTGAAAGTCCAAGTTGTACAGGATTTGCACATATGAAATGCCAGAGGAAGTTCTCTACCGAGTGTTGCTTGAAGGTGGGCAGTCCTACTCATTCAGATAATGTATATTCATAGAAACATTTGTTTCAGAGTCCTTTTTATTGTGAATTCCATAAACGAAGAGATCGTCCGCAAGAGGTTAGTTTCTGGTTTATTTTTGCAGTGAAGTTGCATCGCGCGGGCAACTGGTAATTTTACAATGGAAGACATCTAAGGAAGCTTTGTAGGAAGATTATTCGCCCGCAGATGGCGATAACTCATCACCGTTCACGTCAGAGTTCATGTTCCAGCATCGTCAGCCTGGTGCTTCTGAGACGTGCGGACCTCCCGGTCTACCCATCAGAATGGACAATTATTCTGGATTGTATGAACTGTGATGCTTATGCTTAAAGAGTCAATTTGACTAGTGTTCAAAACTACTTGTTAAAATCATGCTTTTCCAGAGGCGATTCTTCCTTAGGACAATCTCTTCAAGCACAGAAACGGTAAAATTTGTACCTTTCGATCAGTTCTGCTTTTATCATGTTACCAAAATTTGACTGATCTGTTTCTTTATTTGTTCATAGAAGTTTATCAGTTTAAGTTCATCAAATGAAAGTTCTTCACCTATTTCTTTAGTGGGCGATACTCCGTCGCCTCTTCCTCGACTCCAACAGAGAAGCGGTATACATTTCGGTAGGCCAATCAGAATGAAAATGTTATTCATCGATTCCAGAGGATTAAGACTAGGTAATTTCTCTGGTCTCCAGGGATGGAGTGTTGGTGGAACTATCATCGACCAACGAATCAGAATCTCATGCAGGTCGAGGAGCACCGCCTGTGTCGAGAAAACGTAGACATCCAGCAATCGAGGTACTTATTGAGCTTCTGCCTTTTGCTCGCTTGTTTTTCTAATTTCACCTTCCATGCAGTCCATACCAGACAAATTTTGCGGTGATAGAAAACTTTTCCGTTTATTACTCATATTTACGGGAATCGCATGCTTATAAAGTGCTCTGTCAGTGTTCACTCGAAACCAGTTTTCACCAGAAGCGCTACATCTGCACTTACTGCAGTGATTATGAAATATGACCGATTAAAAAGGAAAGTGAGGTGGACATTAGTCTTTTTGGCTTTTCTTTCGACGACAGTCCTCCTCCCCTGTCGGAAAAATTCGTCCCATTGCACTGTACTTATTTATCTTATTGTTAGCTGCATGTTAGTTTGAAACGCATTTGATGATTGGTGACTATGCATGCTCTCTCCTCTTTTGGGGAGCTGTAAACAGGTTCTGTATACTGATCGGCACTGTAGATAGCAGAGACCAAAGTTTTAGCAGCAGGTTGTAGTCGAAGCGGCCACAAGCTCGTTTTTTATACGATAATTGCTCACGTTTACTGTTTCAGGCTGCTTTACAATCGCCACCAGCTCGTGCGGTACGTGAATGGTCCGCAGTTCCCACATCAGCTGAAAGGACTGAGTCAGTCGCTACGACATCCGATGAGGGTGGTCATGTTCAATTTGTTAGTCCTTATCCGGAATCTTCGCACTCTCCGACACCAAGTCCTACTCCGTCGGCTTGTTATGAGGTTGAAATCAGTCCCGATGAATCATCATCGACTCAATCTCTAACACATGAGAGAAGTTCCTGCGTTTTGGATGCATCGCAAAGTAATAGAAGAAGCTCTCCTCACTCCCAAAGTCAGAACAGCGAAAAAAATGCAAATGAAAATGGTTGGGATTCACCTGAAATATCGCTTAAGCCTCGTGTTGTACCTTCGCGTGATCATCCGTACGAGAGAACATCGAAAACTAGCCGATCCATTAGTCCAACAACAAGGTCGTTTATAACGGACTCTTTGGCAAGGAAGTCAGAAAAAACGACTGTAACGGTGCGACAAACCTATACGGCTAAAGCTGTCCCAACTTCGTCGAAAGCAGGAACAACTTCTTTAGCTTCTAACGGTGAGTAATTTCAAAGGATGTACCAGTAGTACAAGTAGGGAGTGTGTTTGATTTATAAACTTTTCACTTCCAACTGCATTTCCATTTAATTCCAACGTGCTCTTTTTTTAGGATCGAGGCCTGTTTATAGGTTAGCAGCTGTTCCAAGATCTGCGTCGCACGTTCATCCTTTCGATGCCGAATTAATGGCGGTTTGTTATGATTGAAAGTCTATCTCTGAGTAGCTAAAGTGCAAAAAAGAAAAACTTTTTCCAGTTATTGAACAATGGGTATTGGTTATTTTTAATAGTAAATGCGTATAATGTACATGATATTTCGAAGTCTCCCACGGAACTCCAGATACCAAGTTTCATTGGCAAATTGAGCGAAGTATAACCCTTGTTAGAAAGCTCTACCTTGGCTGGCTCTTATTCAGTGAGTGAGTGAGAAGTTGGAAGCAGAGTGGAGGTAAAAAAGTCAACCACGAACTAACCCGCGAATAAATTGAGTTGTATGGAATATTTGACTTGTCCCGATCTCATTTGATATTGTCACATCTCAAATAATCATAGTTTCTATAAATATTAGATTGATACTTCTTCTAGGAAGAGAAAACCGTTGATCTTCTAAAAGGCAAAGGCGAAGGTTTGCATGAAACAGGTACACCATCTTACCGAAAATTATTTCGTCGATGCTTATTATCAAAAAATTTAGGGCAAACTGCAGTAGTTACTTCCACAAGTGTTCCTCGTCGAGTGTATGTTGTTGTGAGTTTGTAAACGTCTTTGCTCTAACATGCAATTGCTCTTCCTTGTTATAGAAGTGCTGGGTTATTTCAGAAGGCTGCTACTTCACAGGCTGTAGAAGCCACTCAAAAAGCGTCCAGTCAGTGAATGAAGAACATAATTGTGCTGGGAGGTTCCGTCGAAATTTAATGGACTCTTTACATACCAATTAACTCATAACCACTCATGAATGTTTTTTCGCATTATCGTTTTGCTGTTTTGCTATCATTGAGGAATAGTTTCACTTTTTGTGCTGTTCATCTTGGAAAGCGGGGAATGACCCTTGATAATTCAAACCGAACCCATGAAAGTATCCACAGTTTTCTGCGCTTTTTTGAACAACTTTAATACCTCTTCTCGATTTATGGAAAACTTTTTGAAGAAGTAACATTGTTTCTTTTTGTGACGTCTTAGTAGCTCATAGGAATGCCCTACACTTTATGCACTAGTAGTATAATAGCTGTATGATTGCTCTTATCTCTCCTATTGTTATGATCATCGATAGTGATTTCAAGTTTGGTCTTAGATGAAAACTATTTCCTAAACTTCCTTTATGTAAATATTACGTTGAGATAATATGAATAAAGCTGTTTCCGTCGTCAGTTGATCTAACACTGTGTTCAATTCGAGTTGATGCATGAACATCAATTATAACGCGCAGTAATGTATGCAGTCCTAGAGGCTCTAGTTGTTTTTTGCAAACCAGTATGTTCCATTTGCTACGTTCGTCTTCGTTCATCTCGTTTTCAAAATGCGTGATTTCTCCAATAAATAATCTCGTATATTTTGCCTAGAGGTAATTAATAACCAATCATCGATAGCTTAGCTGCTAGAGCGATAGTCTTTATGCTAGCATCTATATTTGGGCTGATTCGGAAGGGGATCGATGGATTGCTGTACGAGTTGTTTTGCAATGTGTTCGGTAATCTCAATCTTGAAATCAGTCGGAGCGGAGTCCTTACCGTGAAAAGTAGTTGATTTCTCCATTACATTCTCGTATATGCATCTGCTGGCTACACTAGAAGTCAAGTGCGCCAAGTTGGTAGGACGCAGGACTGCACAGTGGCAAGTGTCCTAAGGTCGCCGGTCTGAGGGATTTTTTTTTTGCAAACCTCCTTAGTTGCTTGATTCTGCTGTGTGAACTACTTTTCAACTTGTAATGTGACCTCAATGCTACGTTTCCTGAAAGAGAGAAATGGTTCGCTGGTCTTCTACCCGAACGGCGTGCGGCGCTTGCCGCTACCGTGTAATGCGCTAATCTCCTTTATTCCCTCACCTCTTTAGTCCAAAGATTAGCACTAATTGAATGAGATGAGGCTTGTTATTTTGAAAACGCTCCCCTGCAAGAAAACTTTCGAAAAAACCTTATCGCTCAGAGTTCCCGTTTAGTTTGCTTACCAGAGGTACCTCGAGGTGCTGATGTCTGAAGGTTTCTACCGAAGGTCTCTATCTTGCCTAGAAAGCGAGATATGATGCATTTTATATTTTTGTCATGTTGAAAACGCTCTCCCGCATGAACATTTCCGAGAACTTCATCTTTCAGAGTTCCCATTTTCCAATCTGATTGGAACCTTTCGATTCAGCATCTCAAAACGAACTGGTTTTAGTTGTAGATTATATGCCGTAAAAAGGACAGGCCCTGTCTGGTTGCCGAACCCTCCATGTCATTCTTGGAAATCCAACACACTAACCGGTCGGCCATGCCTACGTACAATTATTCATTTCATTCTTCTAGATATATCAAGAAGTGCAATGCACCTGACGTCAATCTCAAGCTGTACAGCATTGGGCAAATGTTTTTTGGGATTTGAAAATTCGAGGGGTCCCTGCTAGGCGGCGCCCATGCTCCACGCCAAGGATTATTCAGAAATGTGCCTTGGGGAACCCGTGGTGACGGAGAATTCCCTTGTACCTTTCAAGGAAAAATATCGGAAAACTTGTCCCTTGGGAAGCTCGAGTCGAAGC